GTACCCTCTTTCCCGAGAAAATGGGAACGCGCATGCGGCCCCCTATGGATCCTGAGTGGGGGGGGGGGGTATAAGGTTACAGTTGTGATTGAGATTCTGACCCTAAGGTGGCGTTAATCGCGTTACTTTCTAGTTATACATTTTCGGACGGTAATCATGGCTGTAATCTTAAAAGTTTTCAGATACTGTTTCCTTGTAATTCATAATTTACTTGCTGGGCATGGATTTTGAAAATCTATACAACGAACGATTACTAGAAAGATGCCCGAACTTGAAGTTGTCGCCGGTAACTTCTGAATAGGAAACGGAATGATAACATCTGTTCAAAGTGAACAAATACTGTTGTTTACTTGAATCATGGAGGTAGAATGCAGAATGTTTGAGTCACCATTTAGTACCCAATATACATATTGTATATCTTATCTTATTGCTGTTATAAGATATATGTATATGTATAACTTATTACTCGTACATTGTAAGTATGGCTGGATTATATATATTTAATAATAAGTCGTACTTTGCGAATATTTATATTTTATTTATGTTTTCATTTCAATTAAACATGAATTTGTGGTATAATGTAATGTTCATATCAGTCAGTCAGTCAGTCAGTCAAGGGTGGATTCCTCATCTTGTGTTCATATTTATATTGTCTGCAAAGTACACACCTTCACGCACAAATGCAAAATGTTATACTAGTAGTTTGGGTGTATTTGAAGACTGGATTTTAGTTTTCTGTCACTATTAAAATGAGAATTTTGTTTATGTTTGAGATTAACGCCATGACCAAGGACAGGCAAAATAATTCCACATTTTGCTTTATTTTTGGAGTAACTCGCTATTTTATGTGACTGTTTCGCCTGCTACATATTCATGACAACATATCACCTTGCCCGTACGCGTGTTTTTGCGTTCTTTGGTGGAAAGTCAGTTGATGGGAATGGTGGGGTTTGTACACTGATCCACGGTTCAGTGATGGATGAATGGCTTGTTTGTTCATGGTATTATAATGCTGGACGATGAAACTGTCAATGAAAGCATATACTAGTACTGTATATTGAGGAATGTAGTAACTAATTACTGTTACCATGGTAACTTTCCTACGCGAGCGTGGTCACGAGAGATTCGCGAGACAATCAAGGCAAGCGTCACCCTTGACTTTTAGTACGTAACTACCTTGTTTGAGTAATCTTCTATCTCCATGGTAACATATTTTATATCAATAGAAACTGGTCGTACATGCCAGCTGGTTGTTTGAGTACTAGTATTGAGTAGGTACGACGAATCTGATAGCATACAATACAGTCTCTCTACACCTGGAGGGATTGTGCATACAGACTATTTTTAATATCGTTTTCTGACATTTACTATTTTCATGTTCGAATTTGAAATGTGCTTGTTATTTGTACTAGCTACAGCCATCAGGTTTTATTATGCTGGTAGTGTACGCGATATGTTCACCTCATTGTAGGACTATAATATACATATATGCCCGTGGTAGCCCGTACAGTAGCTCCAGAAAACGATGCATTCTATGTTTGAAGGAAAAATGTATCATAATTTATAGACTTCACCACTCCACACTAAACAAATGAAACGAACTTGTATCATCATGTTGACACAGATCAAAAGCCTTATTATGTAACGCTCAAACTTGTACGGTTTTATCTTATTTTAATTGATATGTTAATTTGCGAAGTTTATAATGTATGCTTGTTGGTGCAGTCACGGTTTCTTTTTTAGTAACCGTGGTCATAGACCCTCTAAAAGAGGGTCTTTTAGAGGGTCTATGCCGTGGTGCAGTGCCGCTCCTGATGAGTGAGGTACTTGTACCTATGGAGCTAGCTCCATGTTGTACCTTACGAAACTGTGCTGTAGAGTTTCAATATTCATGTAGTTGTGTATTAATTTCTCTATTATCGTATGTATGTATTTATTTATTTATGTATATATATATTGTAATGAATTTTAGTAGGTATAATTCCTAATAAATCTTGTAATTTGTAATTGTAACTTGTAGTCTATTTAAAGTTTGTAGTTTATTGTTTGGAGTTTATAGTAACCTTACTGCTATATTTTTCAAAGTCAAAAAATATAACATCACTCATTTTTGTTGATAACGTTGTTCTCTTGGCAAAAAAGAAAGAAATTTTTAAATTTCACCATCGTATAGACAGACATGCAGGATATGCAACAAAATACAACAGAAAGTAAAATTACAGTTTTCAACAAAATGGGCTAACACTTTGTTTAAATTCGGAACAGAAAGCCTCGATAATACAAATTCTTTCACATATCTTGGTGTAACATGCAACACGAATACAGTACTAGTAATACCCGTTAGCGCAACCATGCAAACTTTGAGTACATGTGGTTGAATGCATCCAGATACCTATAGTATTTTACTGTACTAGTATGTAACACAAATGTGGAGTATAAAATTAGACACTGGGACAAAAACAAGGATTGAAAAAAAAAAACATCATTTATTGCTTCGCAAAAACTACTCAACGTCAAAAATAAAACCAGCAACATCTGTTGCACAATGGGAAACGGTCACTTACCTTTACTTGTCAACATTCAATAGCAAGCAAGTATTGTCAACAATTGCCCCCACTAGCTTACTACTTCTACTTGTACATTGTGACCATTTTCTTTCCCTCCGGGGATTGTGTAAGTGTCAATAAGTAAATAAATAAAAAACTAATTTACGATGCTTTAACAGACTAGACCGTCGATAGTCCCTCTGGCCTAATGTTTTATTTTTCAACTAAATGGTTTAGTTTAAATCTTTAATGCAATAGTGAAATGCCCAATTCATTTCAGGTATTGTGAACAACAAAATCTGTCGATAGTCCAGAAAAGGCCGGCAGCAATATTGCTACAAGGCATGGATTTTTAAACTTGAATAAACTATTCAAAATTATAATTTCTACAATCTGAACACAATTAATGTTGAGGAATTCCATCATTATGTTAATGATTTTTGTGTAAAGCAGTGGAACATGAAAATAATCATAAAAATGATTAGAAACTAATACTTACAAAGACAGAGATTGTGCCATACGCTATGTTGTCACATGGGAATAGACTTCAAATTGAACAAGCTAGGCTTCAGAGGCCAGAATTTTGCGTTGAACATAGACAATGCAATTACTTCAAGCAATTAATTATAAGACAAACTGCGTTTTTCACAGAATGTAAATATACTGTGGAATACTTTATTTTCGTTGGAATTAATTTTCGCTGAAAAGGCTTTTTGTGCGTTTTGTATGGAATTTATTTTCACTGATTTTCGATGAGTTTAATGTGAAATATAGGAAAAAAAGTATATTCGCTGGATTTTATTTTTACGGAATTATCCCTTCAGCGAAAATAGCAAAAATAAATTCCAAGCGAAAATAAAGTATTCTACAGTACATGGAAACACAGTGAAGGACTATAACAGAAATAAGACAAACAAATGCTCAATCTATTCACAAAAACTGAGTATTTTGAATTATTAAAAAACAAAGACAAGCTGATTTACTTCGTGAATGCAATTTTAGACATTTTTTTAAAAACTTTCCCGCTCAAATAGAAATAGCGTGGTGATTTTGTAGGACGGTCACAGTGGTTTGGTCGAGATTTTAATGCTTTTGACAATATTGAAACCTATTTAACGAATAAGTTTCCATTATTTTACATTTTGACAGTACATATGGTTATTCTGTGTGATGTTTCTCCCTGTGGAACTATACGGTGGCCCATTTATACAACTGGTCCGCTACTTGAAAAATACTAGTAGTCCGCTACTTGAATAAAAAATCGATAGACTACTTGAAAATCGGTCCGCTACTTGAAGATCGTATCAGGGGGAAAATCTCTTTCTCTCGGGTTCTCCACACTTGTCAGGGGGGGGGGAACTCGTCTCGTCTCTATCTCGTCCCCTTGAGGTACGGGATCGGGAAAGTCACTTATACTTTACAGTCAAATAAGACACACACAACGAAATACGTTTCAGCTCTCGTCTTAGTCGGTCAATCGAGCACTCTATCAGACACAGCGCCCTGGGGAAAAATCCCCAAGACTCTCGCAAGGCTGACCCAAGACTCGCCCAAGACTGGACTGCGTCAAGGCTCGCCCCAAGACTCTCTCGGACTGACTCGACTGCCCTAGGCTGCGTCTGTCGTGGAGTATTCGCCAAGACCAACTCAAACTCTCTTTATTCATTTTCAAAACTCTAACCAATTACAAAGCAGTAAAAAGACTCTAAGGCGTAACCTTCAATCATAAAGCCAATCACACTAAGTACTAAATACGTCATATCTTTTGATTAACCGTTCACTACATTAATAACTACGGATGTCAGAATAGCGACGGTATCTTGTAATTAGTTCCAAATCACTGAGCCAAGTTCCGTCCAAAACTTCAAATAGGCCTACACGATGACAGACATAACACAGCAATTCGCTAATAATCAGTTAATTAAGTCGACCAACAGATACGCAAAAACAAATTCATGACAATTGCTCCGCTATAGGAAAAAATGGTCCGATATGTTGTGACGTTCGTGCCGCCGACATGTGAACGTACTCAATGTTTTTGTCCCTGTTATTCTTTGTGAAACTATTAAAACAACGGCAGATATTTCATTTTGAAAAGTCCAAAGTCTGTTTAAAATTGGTTGGCTGGTAGAGTATATAATTTTAAAGATAGGGTAAGGCAGTCTTCAGTCTTCAGGCCGGCGTCCTCTCCGAAACAGGTACACGTCGGAATGGTATAACTTCCGGAATACATATCGGAACAGTTTACCCTACGAGCATTGCAAGTACATGTATATGTGGCGTCATTTGAGAAACTAAACCAGAAACCGGCAAGAATAATTGCATGCCTGTGAATTTTGTTGCCATGCCCACAGCGCGGTATTTCGTTAAAAGACATTGAACTAAAACGTTGCCGATAGAGGGCAGTATACGGAAACAGCTGATAGCTTCGTGGTCCCAAATTAAAACATAGTCATGGAAATCGATGTAGTTAGCCGAACTACCTTACTGTTCGTATTCATGGTGGTAGTCAACTTATCAGATTCTCAAAACTATAGCGAATTCATTGGCGATCTGCTCACAACGAAGACGACGTACGAAGCATCGTTTGGTGGTTTGGAAAAAATGTCAGCCGCACTGAATGCTACGAGAACTCACCTGCAAATGGTCGCCGAATCGTGTGTTGCTCTGCAAGTCAACGCTTTGATAAGGCACGGTGTACGATATCCCGGTAAACAATTCTACGGTAACATAAGTCAGCTTATAGATCTCCAGGAACAAATTGAATCGGAAGAATTCTTCCACTTGAAAGCTCAGACAAACCCATTCCTAGATGTCACCGAAGCTCAACAGCTAGCTGAAAACGGGAGGCAAGAACTCCGCAACCTTGGAATAAGATATGCAAATTACTTTTCTGAACTGTTTCTAGATGGCACTGCGCAGAATTTCACTGAGAAATGTGTTTTTATAAGCTCTGACTTGCCTCGGACTAGAGACAGTGCCAAGGCATTCATACTTGGTATGCAAAGCATTGTGGGAAATGATAAGGATGATGAGTTGAAAATGATGATGGAGGATCAGATAGAGATTCTTGACATTGCAACAGATTTTATGCTGAGGTTTTATTATAATTGTGAGAAAGTTGTCCAAACAGTGCAGAGAAACAAGACGGCATTGGCAGAGTATTATTTATTTGGTGATGGATCAGAGATAAATTCTGTAGTGGATGGAGTTTCGAAGAGGTTAAAAATAAAGCACTCAAGACTTACGAATGGTATGTACAACTGAAACCAAGGGTAGATAAGGAGATAAGGGCTTGCATTATTCACTACAATGCATGGTGATATGAAACGAAAATCACCTTGAAGTTGTACGATACAATTGTATGATTCCGTCTACATTAATGCCATAAAATCGAAGTCACAAAAATTACTAGCATTGAAAATTACTGTAAAATACATTATTTTCATTTGGAATTAATTTTCGCTATTTTTGCTGAAGGAATGATTCAGTGAAAATAAAATCCAGCGAATATACGCTTTTTCGTATATTTTACATTCAACTCATCAAAAATCAGTAAAAATAAAATCCATACAAAACACCTAAGAAGTCTTTTCAGCGAAAATTAATTCCAGCGAAAATAAAGTACTTCACAGTATATGGTTTACAGTATTGGTATGTTTTAAAAACTGAGGTTATTGAACCAGAATCAAGTAAATATTATATTGTCACTGGTAGCATAGTGGTTGACGCATCAGTTTCATGATCAGTTCAAATCCTACCTTAGGCTGAACACCAAAAATGGTTTACCCCTACCTAGGGTGAGTGTGCCACAGACTCGATGGGAAGATTAATTTCACTGGCCGAGATTCATTCACTAACGAATGTGACTTTGGGGGAATCGCAGGTCTGCCAAAGTTTGTGCCTGTGTTCGACCGGGGCTGTTTGACACCACAATAGTGAATTATATAACCATTTGATAGAGAGATAGCCACACCCACTTCATGTAGTTTCAAACATTAATGTGATTTCTATTACAAAAATGTGACAACACTTACAAATGTCAAAAATGTCAAAAATAATTTGTAAATAACAAACGCGTCATTGTTTTGTTACGGGACAATATGGGTTACATTCTGTTCTTTTTGGATTGCTTTCATTTTTTTTTTGAAATAAAGTGAGGCTACCCATGTTTGTTTCCATGGTTATATTCCAATGGTCATTTTTGAATCATAAAATTGTCATAAAACATTCGGATATATACAGAGAGGAGAGCCAAGTGAGAGTCAGTAATCTGGTGAAAAAAAAATTATTACATCATCTGATTTC